TCCCGTCTTCGTGACCCAGCGGAATACGTCGCGAAAGCCAAACACCGATGGGCCGGTCACATTATGAGAAGAACCGACGACAAATGGATACTAAGAACATCTGAGTGGATTCCTCGCGAAGCCAAACGTCCCCGAGGAAGACCACCAACGAGATGGGCAGACGTGTTCGTGGAACGGATGGACCAGCTGAGAAATCAGCTGGATACGATTTTTGCACCTGGAACTCGTGGACGCAGCCACCGACGTCAGCCAAGAAGATCGTGGATGTCAGAAGCGAGGGACAGGGAGAAATGGAAACTTCTGAGCTGGGGCCCGCACGTCACGTGAAGCCGGGCCATTTAAGTATCTAAGTAAGTAAGTAATGGAAATCAAGAGTAGGCCTAGTAAGCCACCTCTTGTAGGGGAACAAATTTTATTACTCAGACAGCAAGAAGATTTAGAAAAAACCCTGTACATCGGATCCCGCCTACGGCGCCGGGTGGTAGCAAGAACGATGTCAGGGTACTCAGGGCGCCTTTCGGATTGGACAAAAACGACACGTCTGCCCGGACGACACGCCATGGAGACTGCCTCATGCTCTGCACTTACAACGCCAGGACAGTCTCCACAAACGCCGACCTCCACGCTCTTCTCGACGCTGCAGAGCACATCAACTACCACATCATTGCTCTGCAGGAAACGAAGTCCAGGAAGAAGGACGTGCGACAGATGAGTGATGAGACCCTCATCATTCGTGGTGAAAAGGTTCCATCACGAAACGTGGGAGGCGTCGGCTTTGTCGTCCACCCATCTATCGTCCATCTTGTCGATTCGCACGAGATCCTATCACCTCGACTAGGCATCCTACGACTACGACCTCCACATCAGAAGACCATCAGCATCATCAACTGCTATTCTCCAACATCAGCAGCTGACGAATCAGAACTAGATGCTTTCTACGAAGATGTGGAGGAGGTCGTCCGCAACGAGAAGTCCTTTTACAAGTTTGTTGTGGGCGACTTCAACGCGAAAATCGGGATGCCACTGGAAAGGGAATATAGGATCGGGAAGTTTGGATATGGGCTCCGGAACGAAAACGGCAACCGTCTTGTTGGGCTTCTCTCCGCCGCACGACTTTTCCATGGAAATTCCATCTTTATGAAGAAGGAACATCGCCGGTGGACATGGGAATCGCCCAACGGAACGACCCACGCGGAGATCGACCACATTCTCACCAACCGAAGGTGGAGCTTACTCGATGTCTCTGTAGTTCCATCCTTCTGTAGTGGCCCCGATCACCGCCTTCTTCGAGCGAAGATACGACTCAGCCGAAGGCTGGAAAAGAAAGTCTGTCATAGTGCCGCGAGAAGGAAGGAAGTCGTTTATGACGGTAACAGGCTGGAAGAGCTCATATCAAGTTGTGACTGGCCCATCGAGGAGGACCCAACGTACGACTACGACCGGCTTCTGAAAGGATTGCGAGCCTGCGGAGAATGCGCCTCAGTGACTTCTGAGAAGAACTTGGACCGCATCTCGAAGACCACCAAGGAATTGCTCGAAAGAAGAAGATCGTTGAGGCAGGATCCGAATGCAACTCATCTCGAGCGACTGATTGCCAACACCAGTTGCAGAACAGCTTTGCAAGAGGATCTCAGGAAGTACAGGCAAGCCAAGATACTGGAAGCAGCAGAAAGAAGACGAAGTCTCAAGAAGTGCCGAAGGGACCTCTGCGAATATCACGTACCGCTGGCTGCACTACTGAACGAAGACGGGACTCCGACTTCTTCCCGATACAAGATGGAATCTATCGCGAAGAACTTCTACACCAACCTCTTCCGCTCATCAACACCCGTGCATATGCCCGTTGTTCCCACTGGAGAAGTACCACCACGAATTCTACCTGCTGAAGTGCGTATCGCGATACAGACCATGAAGACGTCCACGGCTCCAGGACCAGATCATCTTTCCGTCGAACTTCTGCGAGCCGGAGGACACCGTCTACACGAGATTCTAGCGTCGCATTTGACATCTTACCTTCAGAAGGAAAGGATTCCCGACCAGTGGAGAACGTCAAGAACCGTCCTTCTCTTCAAGAAGGGTGAACGGGAGGATCTTCGGAACTATCGTCCAATATGCTTGCTGAGTGTGCTGTACAAGCTTTTCACGAAGATTATCCTCGCTCGCATATCAAGGACACTGGATGAAGCCCAACCCCAAGAACAAGCTGGATTTCGCAAAGGATTCAGCTGCATGGACCACATCCAGACCGTTTCGAGGGTCATAGAAGTCTGCCGGGAGTACCGACTGCCTCTCGTCCTAACCTTTGTCGACTACGAGAAAGCCTTCGACAGCGTCGAAACCAACGCCATCCTGTCTGCGCTAGTCGATCAAGGAGTGGACCCAGCTTACGTGAGGACGTTAGCCAACTGCTACAAGGACTGTACAACGACGATGCAGCTATTCCATCGCCCCCTGACCATACCAATCGGGAAGGGGGTCCGACAAGGCGACACAATCTCGCCGAAGCTGTTCACCGCGGCCTTGCAGTGGGTGATGAAGTCACTGGACTGGGACGAGAGAGGCATACGAGTTGATGGGAGATTCCTGTCGAACCTTCGTTTTGCGGACGACATCGTTCTCTTCTCGAGCAGTATCACCGAAGCAGAGACGATGCTGAAGGAACTAAACGAAGTAGGGAAGAAGATCGGACTGCGAATAAATCGGAAGAAGACTCAGTTCATGAAGAACGCTCTTTGCGAAGATGCAAAAATGGAATTGGAAGGCACCCCGATTATGGAGACGTCTTCCTACGTGTATCTCGGACGTTCGATGAACATGGAGAACGACTTGAGGGAAGAACTCAACAGGAGAAGAAGAGCAGCCTGGGCCGCCTTCGGGCCCCTGAAGGAAGCCACCGACCAACTGACGGACCCGGAGCTTCGTGCCCACCTGTTCGACTCAACCGTTCTCCCGGCGCTCTGTTACGCAGCTGAGACTTGGGCCGACACTGTAGCCACGTCGAAAGCTCTACGGACCACCCACAGAGCGCTCGAGCGCAGTCTTCTGAAGATGACCCGACGCAAGCAACATCTAGTCGGACTTCGCAGCACGGATATGAGAAGAATGTCCCGTCTTCGTGACCCAGCGGAATACGTCGCGAAAGCCAAACACCGATGGGCCGGTCACATAATGAGAAGAACAGACGACAGATGGACACTAAGAACATCGGAGTGGATTCCTCGCGAAGCCAAACGTCCCCGAGGAAGACCTCCAACGAGATGGGCAGACGTGTTCGTGGAACGGATGGACCAGCTGAGAAATCAGCTGGATACGATTTTTGCACCTGGAACTCGTGGATGCAGCCACCGACGTCAGCCAAGAAGATCGTGGATGTCAGAAGCGAGGGACAGGGAAAAATGGAAACTTCTGAGCTGGGGCCCGCACGTCACGTGAAGCCGGGCCATCTAAGTATCTAAGTAAGTAAGTAAGTAAGTAAGTAAGTAAGCTTCTCATATAAAATTGTTATGAATTTTTTAAGTTAAAAATTGGCTTAATTCGAAAAATAGACTACGACCCCTTTCACCCAATAGGAAAATCCTCTTTTTTCCTGGCAAACTATATATTTTCTGAAAGCGGACGACGAGAGGATTCCAACAGAGTGCAAAACACTCTTCTAGCCTTTCATATAATAAAGTTATAAATTTTTACAAAAAAAATTACCTTAATTTTAGAAAAACAATTGCGACCACCCTCACCCTATAGGAAAATCTTTTCTTTCTTGGTAAGCTATATATTTCTGAAAGCTTTCAACAAGAGTAATTCAATGTAGGGCTAGAGACTCTCTTATCTTCTTATATCAAAAATTTACAGTTTTTTATACAAGAATTCTACAATTTTGAAAAAAATGACTAAAACTATCTCTACTTGGCAGAATTGAATTCCTCTTTCTCCTGGCAAGCTGTATGTTTTCTAAAAGCGGATGGAAACTAGACTTCTTAACTAGACTAGGCTAATTATGACTGCGTTTTCCTGCTAAGATCTTTTATATTTCTCAATCTTCTTCGATGGAAAACAAATTTTTTTTCAGAATAATCACGCAGTGATCATATACGATTGTTCTTCTCCTCTTGTACAGTGCTCCAACGTGGAAAAATGCATCTCCTGTCCTTCCTCATCCCCATCATCGTCCAAGTAGGCGGATTGTAGAACTCCACGACCCTCGTAGCTATTGCATTTTGACAGTAAGACACCCTGATTACACTAAGTTTTCGATGTAATACGTGCCCTTGGTTGCAACTTCTTCTCTACGCAAATGTTACGATCTCTGTCGGAGTTTAGAAATAATATTAAAAGTTGGAACACTCTTTAACGAATCTTCAATGACTTTACACGGATTCCGCCATCTGCCTAGAAAATTTATCCCCATAAAAAGAATGCAATTCAACTGCGCACCGATCATCAGAGTTCATTTATTATTTCACTTATTATTTCAGCAAATACGTGCGTAACTTCATTGCCATATACACATGGGGGCTTCATACGTAAATTTTTCTCCAGGCTTTTTCGTAGTTTTCCAAAAGTGAACAATAGGCGGCAAGTTTCCGACGTACTTCTCAGTGAACCTGCAGATAGGTTTTTGATGATCATATTGATGATATTGTGTATTAAAATATTACTTAATTCAATTTTAATAATGTGGATAGTTTTATAATTTTGCTCAAAATATCAACTTCTTAGTCTCACTTTTTACAGTTCCTCATCGGCCTTGGGTGAAGGAAGGTCAGCTGGGTTCCGGCCCTGGGGTGAAGGGGGTAGGAACACATTATCGCCTTTTTACATGTATGGAATGGAGTCTCAAGCTTGGCGAGAGACACGGAAGCAACGGAGTTATTAACGATCAAACAGTGTTAACATTTTTTGGGAGACCCTGTATTACGGCAAATCTAATTGACATTTATACAGACATACATATACACAGTCAGATAGCTTTATATATAAGATAGATTCACAGCAAATGACATTTTCGGAATGTTGATCTGGCTGCTGCTTCACTCTACCAGATCGCACAGCGTTCGGAGGACTTGGGGTTCATCGGGGTGCCTTTTTTACATTTGAAAGCAGCAGCGAATTCAGGTTGATTAGCCAGTACTTGATTGACCCTGAATAAAACATGTTTAAAGTACAAATAACTTATGGCTGCTTTTAAACTGGACAGAAGTTCCGACACAGCTCTAGCACAGTCTCGAACTAAGTCGAACTGTGCCTAAACTGTGTTGCATGCATTGCCGCCGCTCGGATTTAATAGTTTTGAAAAAGCAATTTTCGACCGTTTTCAATTTGTTTCATTGCAGATTTTGCTCGTTCTCGTCTCATTCTTGTCGCTCTCTTTCTCTGATAAATTAGTTCCAAACTTGGAGCGAAAGTAAGAAAGAGTACTATGTTGTGTATTTCGTGAGAACTGTATCTCTATCTCCCTCCACTCCCGTCCCATCCTGCAAAGCAGCAAGGTTCTTTGAGCTTCTAACTTCTTTGCGCATTACCCTACACTCGAATGCATTGTACCTTAGAAAAGGCAACCTTCTCAATGATTTACACAATCTTTTAGCAGAATCCTATTGTTGGCAAATCGGCTAAGAAAAACTTGTTTCTGTTTGTTTCCGCCTGTATGTGGTCCATGCAGCTGGATCCTTTGCAAAATCAGCGTGTCTTCGGGGTTCCATCCAGTGTTCTAGATATGCGAGCAAGGATAATCTTCGTGAAAAGCTTGTAAACACATTTGGCGGGCATATTGAACGCAGGGTCAAGAGCAGAGTTAGTCTAGTGGTTAGTGCTCTACGTAATATTACCGTGCTGAAGGTCGCGGGTTCGATTCCACCCTGAGCCTAATTTCTGCGACAAAAATTCTGCTCACAATTCCAGCGTCAGGCTGCCCTTCCATAGAAGGGCATGCGACAAGCCGGCTGAGAAACACCCCGTCGCATCCATAATGCAGACATGTCTCATAAAGTATTTCGAGTAAAGGCTAGGGCGTCCCCCGGAGGCGACGCGCATTCGAGCCCGACGAATGCGAATAGTGGGCGAGGGTTACCGTCCCAGCAAGGTGAACGGGGACGGCTAAAGCGGCTAATTCACCAGAGGCAACGATCTAAGGCATCGCAGACTCTCCGTCTAGCTACCATCAACATGGGTACACTCACCTCTCGTTCGCGAGAGTTAGCAGATCTTCTGAAGAGACGACGAGTCGATGTAGCCTGCATACAGTAAACGAAGTGGAGCGGGGCAAAGTCACGCGACATCGGAGAAGGATATAAGCTCCTCTACAACGGTGCTACCTGCACCAGAAACGGGGTTGGTATAGCTGTATCGGAGTCTCTAAGGAGCAATATAGTTGACGTTGCGCATAAGCGATCGTCTGATGAGCATCAAGATAGATACCGGGAAACAGGTCCTACGAATAATCACCGCCTACGCGCCATAAGTCGGATGTAAGGATGATGAAAAGGACACGTTCTGGCAGGAGCTGGATGACCACATCAGTTCAATTCCGCAGGAAGAGACACTCCTGCTAGGAGCGGACCTCAACGGACATGTGGGAGAAAGGCGAGGAGAAGCCGGAAAATGTCAAGGAGGCCACGGATACGGAACATGCAATGAAGAAGGTGAGCATATGTAATGAGGTGATCATCCTTTTTGATGTAGTATGTGTTCGCCAAGACCAGATCATGAGCTGAGGCGAATTCCAGAATATTCTGGAATTCGCCTCAGCTCATGATCTGGTCTTGGCGAACACATACTACATCAAAAAGGATGATCACCTCATTACATATGCGAGTGGCGACCGACGAACACATATAGGCTTCTGGGCTATCCGACAGTGTGACCTCAAGAACGTAAAGGACTGCAAAGTCATTCCCGGTGAGAGCTGCATACCTCAACATAAACCACTGCTTCTCGACATCAAAATAACGATGGATAAGCACATCAGGAGAGCCACAGAGACCACATCAAATGGTGGAAATTGAAGACCAGCAACGCAGCTAAACACTCTACCAAGCCTGCAAGAGAACCCAGAACGATCCTGGGGAAGCCTGAAAGATCGAGTCCACCAAGTGGCACACCTGATCCTGGGCAGTACAAAGCCAGGAAAAAGAAGGATCAATCGAGAAACGTGGTGGTGGAATGACGAAATACAAAAAGCTATAAAGGAGAAGAGGGATGCGTACAAGCGATGGCATAAGACGAAATTGGAGGACGATCGCCAGACGTACCAACAAGCCAAACGCGCTACGAAGGCTTCCGTAAAGAAGGCAAAACAGGTGTACCTGAAAGAGGTCTACGACCAGCTAGAGTCTCGCGAGGGAGAACGCGAGATATACCGAATAGCGAGAAGAAGAGCGGAATCCACAAAGGATATGGAACACTTCCTCCATATCAAAGACAAACTTGGTAGGATGCTAAGAAAACTAGAGGACATTACCGAAAGATGGAGGACCTACTTCGAAGAGATGGCCACCACAGGCCGCACCATCAACTCCATCCCAGAAGCCAGCCCCATAGAGGGACCAGTACCAGCAGTCACGGAAGAGGAAGTATGGCTGGCCGTAAGAAGAACAAAGAATGGCAAAGCGACTGGTCCAGACAACATACCAAGCGAGTTCTGGAAATTATGTGGACAATCCGGAGCCACATGGCTAACAAGTCTCCTCAATCAGATCATAAGGTGCAAGAGTATGCCTCGCGACTGGTACACCAGCACGACCATCCCGATATGGAAGAACAAAGGAGACATAGCAGAATGCGCATCTTACCGACCAATCCGACTGATGAGCCACACTCTAAAAATCTTCGAGCGAGTAATCGAAACACGCCTTCGAAATATCATAGAGTTGTCACCGAATCAGTGCGGATTCGTGAAAGGAGTAAGTACAACTGATGCAATTCACTCCGCTCTGATAGTGATGGAGAGATACAGGGAGAAGCAGAAGGAATTGCATGTAGCCTTCCTGGACCTGGAGAAAGCCTTCGATAAGGTGCCACATGAAGTCATATGGTGGGCCTTACGGAAACACAGGGTGCCAGAGGAGTACGTTAAGTGGATAAAGTTGATCTACCACAACGCATCAAGCCACGTGCAAACAGCTGCAGGGCAATCGAAAGAATTCCAGATCAAGGTTGGAGTTCACCAAGGTTCAGTCCTCTCTCCCTTGCTCTTCATCACTGTGATGAACGCCGTGATGGAACCACTCAGACGTAAACCCCCTTGGACACTTCTCTACGCAGATGATGTGGTCTTGATGGCAAGTACCAGAAAGGAGCTACAAGACGAGGTGCAAAACTGGAAAAACAGGCTAGAGTTGTATGGCCTGAAGCTCAACACCAGGAAGACAGAATATATGGAAGTGGGGAAACAAAGTCCAGGTACCATAAGCACCAATGGTGAAGAGCTAAAGAAGACGACGTCATACAAGTACCTAGGCAGCCATATCTCAGCGGAGGGAGGCTTACAAGAGGAGGTCGCAGGCAGGATGAACACAGCATGGATGAAATGGAGAGCCTTAACAGGAGTTCTGTGCGACAGACGAATGTCAGTGCAACTTAAGTCCCAACTGTACCGGACCGTTATCCGCCCAGCAGCACTGTATGGCAGTGAGTGCTGGCCATGTACGCGGAACGAGGAGCGCAAGCTCAGTGTCATGGAAACAAGGATGCTACGATGGACCTTAGGTGTCACACTAAAGGACCACATCTGCAACGACACTATACGAGCACGAATGAAAGTAGCTCCAATTGCCCAGAAAATGCAGGAAAAAAGGTTACGATGGTATGGGCATGTGCGCAGAAGGGATGAAAGTCACATCACCAAGTTGGCCCTGGCTGTGGAGGCACCAGGCAAAAGGCCCAGAGGTAGACCCAAGATGAGGTGGATGGACAGAATCAAGGCCGACCTGCGAGAACTTGGTATTAACGAAGACCTTGCCTCAGATAGGATGACATGGAGACATCTGACAAGAAAAGCAGACCCTGCTTAAGCGGGACACATGCGAGGATAAAAAAAAATTGAACGCAGGGTCAAGCGTGTGATGCGACTCTCGGAACGTGGGGTCGTAAAGGGTGGGTGCATGACTTTATGAACGATAGCATGTGCCAGCCGCCTGCTGGGTACCGTACGCGATGCGCTGAACGCTCCGCCTCCTTATCAATTAGTTAGGAATGCGTTGCAACTATCAAACTCTAATATTTCGTTCATGCTCTTTCAGTCAGCTGCAGTTTGGATATAGAATAGAATTCAAAATTTCGATTGAGTTGAAAACCAGCTTTCAGATTCATTTTTCATTACAAATTAGTTCGCAAGTTCTTTTTTGATGTGTTTTTTGTTCCTAGTAGGTTTGTCCAAATTGATTTTTCATAGCAACTGTGAGAAATTTGTTCCGAAAATGCTTGGAAAAGTGTTTCAATTCTCTTTGTTCACATCTCACAAGTGAGCAAAAAATCAACAAGAAAACAAACGATTCTGTATATAACAAGCTTCTCCCCGGCTTGAAGCAAGCTTATGGCTTAATATCAAAGGCTGATTTTAGTGGACTAGTGAACATGGCTATGAACCACTGCCCGAGCTGTAGTGCAGGAAGCTCGTCCATCTAGCGATAGGCGGGGCTAACGGTGCGCACCTTATTGACACATGCCTGCCTAAGCGCGCGCTATCGTTCATAAAGTCCGCCACCCGTAAAGGGTGCCGGCGGTATGGGAGGAGGGGGGGGGGGTCGTAGGAGAGGTGGTACGAATTAAAAAATTGCGGAATGTAAGAAATAAGCTTCTCAGTCGCAAGAACTTTTTTACTCTTCAAAAACAACATTTTTCTCCTTGCAAAAAAGGTGTCGCAGACGGGGATCGAAGTTGCTGGCCACAAGTATGACCGGAGATTCCAAAGATACTTTCAGAAGCTCAAACACTAGGCATGTATGTGTGACAAGAATGTTAAATGTATCACTTCGCCTAGCAATCCTGTTCGGAAGCATCACTGAAGTCTCATACTGTCGACAAAAGCGTTCATCTCTGCTAGCGATGACCATCGATAATTTTTAAACCTTTTTGTTATTAATTTCAAGGCTCCATACAATTTACCTGTACTTTGGAGATGCTCCGCTAGAGTTGTACAAAATCTGGTTATATTAGGCCGTCCCGAAGGTTCTTTCGCGCCAAATTCAACAATTCATAACTAGTCGAATTCTCAACGAATTTACAAGATCTAAACTTTGTGTAAGAGAAGAACTTATGCTCTTTGCTTATGTCCCTGAAAGGTTCGTTAATGTGTAATGAAGGAGATAGAAGTTCAAAACCAAAATTACTCAATATTTGAATTTTTGTAGGTTCATAAAAAATCGGAAACTTGCAACAAAAATCGGAGCAGTCGATATTGTAGGTTCTTTTACACGCTCTTTCTAACAGTGCAAAGTTTGCACCGATTAAGCGTCTCTATGAAAGGTTATGATTTTCGAGCAAGCAATACAAAAGGGCGAATTTGATTTATTTTGGTGTTTTCAGGGAATTCATAACTTTTCACAGTGACCCTCACTCGGCGCAAACTTCGCACCGTTGGAAAGAGCTTGTGAAAGAGCCTACAATACTGGCTGCTCCGATTTTTTTTGCAAGTTTGCGATTTTTTATGGCCCTACAAAAATTCAAATTTTGAGTGATTTTGGTTTTGAGCTTCTATCTCTTTCTTTTGTACACATTAACGAACAGCTTAAGTATATTTGCGAAGAGCATGAGTTCTTCTCTTATACAAAATTTAGCTCTTGCAGATTCGTTGAGAATTCAACTATGAATTTTTGAATTTGGTGCGAAAGAACTTTCGGGACGACCTGATCTTTCAAAGCCTGTGGATTTTTTAAAATTTTATATATGGCAACAAAAAATGAAAAAAAAAGGGGCGGGGGTCGTATCTGGGTCGCATCTAAATTTTTTCGCCGCTATAGAAGCCTGCTTGCTGCAATTTTGCTATGTTATGACGCCATCTCTCTACTTTCTTTCCTGAAAATTTCGGGCTGTTTCGTTGCGTCTCCAGTGAGTTAAGGAATTTTGAGCTCAAAAATCACGGTTTTTGCTTCTTAGGATCGCAGCTAAATTTGCTAGAGTCGCATCTAAATTTTTTCGCCGCTATGGAAGCCTGCTTGCTGCAATTTTGCTTTGTTACGACGCCATCCCCCTACTTTCTTTCCTGAAAATTTCGGGCTGTTTCGTTGCGTTTCCAGTGAGTTAAGGAATTTTGAGCTCAAAAATCCCAGTTTTTGGCTTCTTAGGATCGCAGCTAAATTTGCTAGAGTCGCATCTAAATTTTTTCGCCGCTATGGAAGCCTGCTTGCTGCAATTTTGCTATGTTATGACGCCATCTCTCTACTTTCTTTCCTGAAAATTTCGGGCTGTTTCGTTGCGTCTCCAGTGAGTTAAGGAATTTTGAGCTCAAAAATCACGGTTTTTGCTTCTTAGGATCGCAGCTAAATTTGCTAGAGTCGCATCTAAATTTTTTCGCCGCTATGGAAGCCTGCTTGCTGCAATTTTGCTTTGTTACGACGCCATCCCCCTACTTTCTTTCCTGAAAATTTCGGGCTGTTTCGTTGCGTTTCCAGTGAGTTAAGGAATTTTGAGCTCAAAAATCCCAGTTTTTGGCTTCTTAGGATCGCAGCTAAATTTGCTAGAGTCGCATCTAAATTTTTTCGCCGCTATGGAAGCCTGCTTGCTGCAATTTTGCTGTGTTACGACGCCATTCCCCTACTTTCTTTCCTGAAAATTTCGGGCTGTTTCGTTGCGTCTCCAGTGAGTTAAGGAATTTTGAGCTCAAAAATCCCAGTTTTTGGCTTCTATAATAGGATCGCAGCAAAATTTGCTAGAGTCGCATCTAAATTTTTTCGAGCTTACTGCTCCTGTGTGGCTGCAACTTTTATCTTCAATTGTCTGGGCACCATACTACAAACCCTGTTCACTGGAGCCTCTTAATTTTTTCTTGACTTTAGTTACGAATTTTCAAGTACCGTGCTCATGCACGTTTTTTACCGTTCTGGATGGCGCTAAAGCGGTTTTTTTCACAGGAAAATGTGTGCAGAAGGTAGGAAATAAGCTAGTCGAAAACATATCTTCGAAGATATCGTTTTTCCTTCCTATAAAAAAATAGTGTCGCTTACGAGTACGAAACACGAGACTATCGTTACAGACTAAAACGTTCTAATCTCCAGAACCATTGTCAATATCTTTCGGTACCACTGAAACATGCATGAGTTATGCCGAATATTCATAAACGGCAGAAGAGTTTATTATCTGTCACTAGAAAATGATTTGTTATAAATAGTCAATTATAATGACAGTGAACCGTTCCCTACTGAATTTTTTGGTTGTTATCGGTTGCGAGAGAGGAAGGGGGGGGGTAGGTGGGTGAGGGGTATGTGGGGGGGGGGGGGGTCGTATAAGAGGGCTTAGGATCGTATCAACACGTTTGACCCTGATTGAACGGTAGTTCCAGAGATTCTCCTGTTCGCCCTTTTTGAAAGGACGGTACTTGAAGTTCTTCACTGGTCGGGAATCAAGATGTTAGAAGAGACGCGACAGTCTTGTGTAAACGTTGCCCTGCGGCTATCGGCGGAAAGATGATCTGGTCTTGGAGCCGTGGGCGTATGTGTGATCTAGATCGCGGTGCGCATCTCAGCAAGTGGAACCTGTGGTGTTGCTCTTCTAGTGGCCACCTTCTTATATCGGGAGCGTTAAAGCACACTGACCGCAAATCGAATCTCTGCCTAAGACTGCAATGCGCGCTAGCAAGCGTGACCCAACCACGCGAGTGCGCACGCAGCCGATTGTGTAGATTTAGTAAGTTTCGACCCGCCTTAGGCGGAAATCGCACTGGCGGGCGTCCGCGTCGCAATGGCTCGCGCCGTTTTGCAGCTACGGTATATCATGCCGTGGTGAGAACAGGTCTGTGTCTCTTCATTCTCCTTAGTCTTTGCTTCATTCTCCTCAGCCTTTAGCGATGGCAAAATGCCAGCGTTAAAGGCTCGCGAAGCCTTCAGCGATGCGCATGCGCGCTCCTTTTAGAATGTTCCGCTTAATTCAAAAAAGGTGAAAAAATGGGGCCAGTTTTCATCGTTTTAAGAGTTGCCTGTTGCCATTTGTTTTGCAATTTTTCTTCATTAATTTCCCATCAACAACCTTCACTTTTTATAGGGAGGGGGAAGGCAGATATTCAAACAACTTTCACTTTTGCGTCCTATTTCTGAACTATCGAAGATATAGTGCCGGAATACTTTCTTGTCAACCCTACATCATACTTTACTCACCGATAACGTGCCGGAGAATGGTCATCACCAAGCAGTTGGTTGACCAATGCCTGTGTCGTAGTATGTTCACACCATATCTCAAATACAGCACTTGAACATGTTGTATTTCCAAAGTGTAAAAGACAATCACCCCAGCATATCCTAAGAAGAACATTTGATCGTTGTTATATTTCTCTAGACCTTTAATCCTTGGTTCTTCTCCACCATTTCTTTGCAGATAAGCTTTGTACGCCTTAAGAAAATAGACTGCCATAGTGCAGCCGCTGACTAAGCTTAGCTCGACGACATACCTTGTAAGCTTGTTTAACTCCGCCATTGTCTGCTATGTTTTCTACTTGAGTGACTTCACCGTTGATGCTGAGATTAGTTCCCGGTACCTTAAATAATATCTTTGATTATGTGACGTAGACTTCATTAAGCTTTACCAACTTCGATGTTCTCATATTGATCGACAAAGCATTGAGCGCGTTTTCTGAAGTTCTTTTTCACGCTTTTATCCCACCAATCATGCAGGTTACCATAAGCGTCATGCTGGCTTCCTAAAACATTTTTTTTCGAATTCTTTGGTATGCCAAGAGCCAAGTAGCCATATTTATTTTTGACCATGTGAGAAAAGAAGCCAATTGTAATTACCTTCAACATCAAATCCGTGCGTAATTTCATGCGCCATTACAGCTCCGATACCCCCATAGTTCAATGCTCTGAAATTAGAGGTTAGCACAGACAGAGAAACCTTCAGGAACTACAATAGTAAAAAATCTCTTCGTTTTCAATTTTCACATCTCAAACTTGTCTCTTTGATGCAACGATGGAAAGTAGAAGCCAAATGATTGCCTTTAAGTTGACGCAATTACCTACCCAGTATTGCTTGTTATCTGGAGGAAAGTCCAAAACTTTCAACAACGCATGGGAGCTAAGTTGGTTCGCACTTCCTAGTTGTCACTGTATCGAATGAGATTTTTAGTGTTTCAAGGTCACTAGTTAGTGTCATAATGTCGCAACAAGATGAGCTTTGATCACAAATGTGCAACTGGGTGCGGAAACTTAAATGCAAACAAGTCAGTCAGATTCGTGAAATTTCTAATTCTTGTTGATCTCGTTCAAATATATTATTGACAAGATTCCTTGCTTAAGAACCACGGGTGTAATACATATCATGTGTTATACTTGGGGCCAAATCGAATGATCATTTTATCATTCGAATAAATCATTAGAATGCGAATGGTTCGCAAAGTCGAATATTCGAAAATCTAAGATTTCGTCTAAGATTAGAAGGCGAATATTCGAAATTTCCAATTTTCGAATATATTCGATACTCGAATATTTGAAAATCTCAACTTTCGAACATTTTCGAAAGCCGATTATTTGGTGTACACCAAGCTGGCGCGTGTGAGTGTGTGTGTTTCGAGATAAACGAGACGAGCCTTCGTGCGCCTCGTCCGCCTTTGTGCGGCTTCGTCCGCCTTCGTCCACCTTTGTGCGCCTTCGTGCGCCTTCGTCCGCCTTTGTGCGCGGTCTGAACGATCTCTTATATAACTGTTTATTCGATAGTAGCGGAGCAGCCGCTGATTATCAACAGTGAATATGCGGAAAAGCCGCTGACGATGGTGGTAATAATCGCCAACACCAGAACTGAGTATTTAGGCCCTTTTATGCCACTAATTTGGGCGTGGATAACCTGAATGCTCATTTCTGGTAAACAACAATTTATATAGCATGAAGGATTGCCTACATGAAATTAGGCGCCGCCAAGTAGACCATCAAGCACAGTTGAGGGGTGACCTGGCGGCTTAAATGATCAGTGAACAGTAACATTTGTCAACGACAAGCTATTAGATATTGAAATAACAAATACTGTAAATCTACAATGCTAAAGGTTGTAGATTGTTTGGATAATCTACGACAGGATATTCGAAAATTTTAACTTTCGAATATTATTCGAGAGCCAATATCCGAAGCATTCGATGAACATCGAACATTCGAATATTCGACGACCGTCGAATGATCGAACTCCATAAAAGCACAGCACGTCATTGCAAAAGTTTTTGTCAAGTTACAACTCTCAAAGAGAGTGTAATCGTTTCGGGTCGTGGCGCGGCAGTGTGTACAGTAGTCGTGACGCTCCATTTCGCGTCGCAGTACGTAAATGTTATCGATTTTTCGTTAGCCAGGGACGCCAGGGTGATATCTTCGACCGCTTCTGTTACTTTCTAAGATTTCTAGTCATTTTCTAGTTTTCTAGTCTTTCTAGTCTATGTCCGGCAACTTTCTCGTCGCTTACGCAGCGCACAGGTAACTTATATCGGAGTGACGTCAGAAAAGGTAACTAATTTCACGGTCGATACATTTCTTCTCGGCATGATGTAATTTAGGTGATCGAATGCCTCCGAAAGATGGTATTACTTTTCAGTCATCATCTGGAGATTTATGAAATGGAAAATAAATGTGAAACCTAGGGACGGAGGGGGACAAGCGTTGTTTGTGCGCCGTGTCGTTACTGACGGATGAATTGAGTACTTCATGTATTATAGAGTAGTAATCATATAGAAGGGAACTACGAGGACCCATAGTACTTGTAAACTATCTGTTTGGCCATGTTACATATCTCATAGACATTTGGTTTTTTGAATAATACTCAAAAATCCCTTCTGCAGTGGCTCCACCGCCTTCTTCTAGCGAAGATACGACTCAGCCGAAGGCTGGAAAGGAAAGTCTGTCACAGTGCCCCGAGAAGGAAGGAAGTCGTTATGATGGTAACAGGCTGGAAGAGCTCATATCAAGTTGTACTGGAACATCGAGGAGGACCCAACGTACGACTTCGACCGGCTTCTGAAAGCATTGCGAGCCTGCTGAGAGTGCACCTCAGTGACTTTTGAGAAGAACATGGAACGTATTTTGAAGACCACCAAGAAATTGCTCGAAAGAAGAAGATTTCTGAGGCAAGATCCAAATGCAACCCATCTCGAGCGACTGTTTGCCAACGCCAGCTGCAGAACAGCTTTGCAGAAGGATCTCAGGAAGTACACGCAAGCCAAGATACTGGAAGCAGCCGAAGGAAGACGAAGTCTCAAGAAGTGCCGAAGGGACCTTTGTGAATATCACGTACCGCTGGCTGCACTTTTGCACTGTGACAGACTTTCTTTTCCAGCCTTCGGCTGAGTCGTATCTTCGCTCGAAGGAGGCGGTGGTCGGAGCCACTGCAGAAGGGATTTTCGAATATTATTCGAAAAACCAAATGTCTATGAGATATAACGACACGGTGCACAAGCAACGCTTGTCCCCTCCGCCCATAGGTTTCACATTTATTTTCCATTTCATAAATCTTCGGATGATGACCGAAAAGTAATACCATCTTTCGAAAGCATTCGATCACCTAAATTACATCATGCCGAGAAGAAATGTATCGACCGTGAAATTAGTTACCTTTTCTGACGTCACTCCGATATAAGTTGCCTGTGCGCTGCGTAAGCGATGAGAAAGTTGCCGAACATAGACTAGAAAGACTAGAAAACTAGAAAATGACTAGAAAGCTTAGAAAGTAACAGAAGCGGTCGAAGATATCACCCTGGCGTTCCTGGCTAACGAAAAATCGATAACATTTACATATTTCGACGCGAAATGGAGCGTCACGACTACTGTACACACTGCCGCGCCACGACCCGAAACGATTACACTCTCTTTGAGAGTTGTAACTTGACAAAAACTTTTGCAATGACGTGCTGTGCTTTTATGGAGTTCGATCATTCGACGGTCGTCGAATATTCGAATGTTCGATGTTCATTGAATGCTTCGGATATTCGGCTCTCGAATAATATTCGAAAGTTAAAATTTTCGAATATCCTGTCGTAGATTATCCAAACAATCTACAACCTTTAGCATTGTAGATTTACAGTATTTGTTATTTCAATATCTAATAGCTTGTCGTTGACAAATGTTACTGTTCACTGATATTTAAGCCGCCAGGTCACCCCTCAACTGTGCTTGATGGTCTACTTGGCGGCGCCTACTTTCATGTAGGCAATCCTTCATGCTGTATGAACTGTTGTTTACCAGAAGTGAGCATTCAGGTTATCCACGCCCAAATTAGTGGCATAAAAGGGCCTAAATACTCAGTTCTGGTGTTGGTTCGATTATTACCACCATCGTCAGCGGCTTTTCCGCATATTCACTGTTGATAGTTAGCGGCTGTTCCGCTACTATCGAATAAACAGGCATATGACGTAGTGGTACCAGCTTGGTGTATACCAAATATTCGACTTTCGAAAATATTCGAAAGTTGAGATTTTCAAATATTCGAGTATCGAATATATTCGAAAACTGGAAATTTCGAATATTCGACCTTCGAATCTTAGACGAATTTTTAGATTTTTGAATATAGACTTTGCGAATCATGCGCATTCTAATGATTTATGTGAATGATAGAATGATCATTCGATTCGGTCCCAAGTATAACACATGATGTGTATTAATCCGAATAATGTGTTTGAACGAAATCAACAAGAACTAGAAATTTCACGAATCTGACTGACTTGTTTGCATTTAAGTTGCCGCACCCAGTTGCGCATATGTGATCAAAGCTCATCTTGTTGCTACACCACACGAATTGCCTTTATCGTAGGGATCGAGTACGATATTCTTGAAACGGCACTTTAGGTAATTCCCTGCCAAGGCTCCAGGCAGGCAGGTTCATGATTTTTACCCGCTGCCATGTACCTACCGCCACTCTTCGAAAAGGTCTCAAAAGGCAAGGAGAGTGTTTTAATCGTGGTCAGAAGGCTGAATATTTCCAGACCGAGAAACAGCCAAAACTGAGATTTTGCTCCTCCGCACTATACCTACCATAACTAAGTGAAAACGCCCCAAAATGCCGAAGGAGTATGATATTCGTAATCAGCACGTCAATTAGCCCCCTAAGCAAAGTTTCAGCGAAATCCATGATTTTAGCTTCTTAAGTGTATCCAACGAAAAGCCCACAAAATGAAACCCAGAAAATGGCGCTATCGCTTAAACTGACAACGACGGTCGTCATCAGCGGCTCGAATAACCCCCATATACCGAGTTTGAGGGAGATCCGTCATAAAAACATTTTGGGGCCCGGATAGCCGAATAACGCCGTCAGTTTTAGAATTATCCTTATTTTTTATCGATTTCATTGATTTTTTGCAAAGTTTAGGCTATGGGGCTGGGGGTTGATGAGGAAGGTAGGTGAGCATACTGATGACTAACACAGCGGGAATAGGGAATTGCATGTAGAAGTGGGCACAGAAAAGGTTGTGCAGGGATAGAAATGAAACCTTAGTCGTTTCTGACAGAGCCGGGCGAAGCCGGGTAAGCCAGCTAGTAATTGTAATAAACGACTAGTATCAGCATAGTATAAAAGTTTTTAACTTGTTTGGTCTCTTTTCTGAGGCTTTTAAGACTCTGTGGCTTAGTGCCCTCTCTAAAATTTCTACCGTAATCCTACGGTAACTAGGAGGTAACGAGGATTCACTCCATACCTAATCTTAAGGTGAAGCCAGCTCAATTGAGTGGTACCTAGAGATTGGCAAAAGACATTAAAACAGGCATTAATTATCAAAAAGAGTACGCATTTTTTGGGGCATCCTGACGATACGTTGCATTTTCTGCAATTTTTTAGTGCCTATCCAAAATTTTCGGATAAACTTAATTGCTAGAAAAACGGAGCAAACTCGATTGGAATTTCCCTGACGCTTTGCAAAACTTGCTCAAAATGTGCTGAAAATAAGAGAGAAGCGTCCATGTTGTGCAGCTCATGTATTGAGCCAATGTAGCAGTTCACTTAGAGCTAGTACTGATGAAGGCCAATGTTCGTAAGGCGAAGTGTACGCAGGCTACATAGCTTTAATGATAAAAGATGCCCGTTGCGTTCGCATCTACATTGCAGGTCTCCCCGCCTCGTTAGGGGCTGATCCTTTTACGTACAGTAGCTAGGAAATCGGCTTCGCTCGATCCCTGTCATCATAAGATGATGGGACTCACCCTTCCGTCTCACTTTCATGCAACATCTCCCTGTCTTACTTCTATATGCATACCTGCCTTTACCCCCCCCCCCCCTCCGTCTTTGCATAGTCGCACAAACAGGCGTGGAGTGTGGCAAGCCATATACAGAGATAAAGAGGAAAGGGGAACGTGAGCGGCGTGATAGTGATGTTAGAGATAACATAGTATGTGTCAAAGCCCATTATGCGAAAGGGACACACAAAGGTATTGACCTACCACCGTATAGTACAGTAAGGGATGCGGCTGCCGCCACGCCCCTTCTTATAGATTTGAGGGGTTATGGGCCCGCAAAAACTTTGAAAAGCACCAAAAAATATGTCGAAGTGCCTTCATTTGAAAAAATTTTTGCCGCCTCCCCGACGGAACTCCTGGGACTGCTACTGCGTTGTATTAATATAGTATCAGATACACGGTTGTGTATAATACTATATCAACACGACATAATATCATAGTACTAGTACAGTAATTACTGAATCGATCTTTTTTTGTTTGCAAAGATGCTCAGATAAAAACCAACTTTGGGAAGGTGTGGTGGAAGAATGGAGCTTGAAGAATGGCAGCAGTGATTTCTAAAAGAAATTAACCGTTAAAGCTAGACGAAGAGTTGTTGCGACTTACTTATAGAGTTAGTTATGTCGTCGTAGTAGGCATTCACTTCGGCTGCGTTGAAATCATACTCAGAGCGATCTACAGGTTTCGCTAGCCTTTCAGAGAGGTATGCGATGTCCCATTTATCTATCTTTTCCAGCATTTTACCGTACGAATCATTCTCATCCACATTCAGCTAAAGTAGTTTGACACTTAAAACGACCAAGCAATGGCTTGTGCGGTACTTACACCTTCATAGTGCTTGTCCAGCTTCTTGTCATCCAGAACAAAGTCGGGATATGCTATTTTGCGAAGCATTCTCTTCGCTTTGTGCAAAGCTCTCTAAAGTTTTTATTTTGTCGCGCATTTCCATACAGGCTGTTCAAAGCATTAGTTCTTCGATATCGCAATTGCGGTAATTCGCAAGACTAAGTTTGACGAGTGCGAACTTATTGTTAGCTATGCACGGGAGTCACTACATGGGACCATGAATCGCGGCAGCTGTGGCCGATCCTATGTTAAACAGGCTATATTCACCCACATTTTTGGTTGGGCCATGCAACCAATCGGTTGTCTTCAGCGTCTTGCGAAATGCTATTTGCAGGTCATAAGTCAAATTTAATGCGACATCCTTTGCTTCCTAAATCACCCGAGTCAAACCAGCCGTTATAAACAGTTGGCTTCGTACCTTGTCAAATGCTTTTCTTACATACATAGCACTGGTAGCATATTTCATCAGGTCCATAGTGCTTCTGGTACAATCCTTCCATCGTGGAGCCTTTTGTTGTCTACCATACATATCCCGAAGGTACTCCTAGATTTTGAAACAGTTTTTGGTGCTACAGCACCTGCTACTACATCTCGAATTAGATTCAGTCTTAAAATACTTGTAGCCGAAGCATAAAATGAATTTTCCAACTCCGACATTTTCTCACCTGAGCAACGTCATCATATCTTTCTCCCATCTCCTTTGTTAGAGCTGAGGAATATCGAATAAAAACGTAATTTGTGATAATGCGAGGGTCCGTTTCATTCAAAAGTTTGCTTATCCTAAACTGATTCGCTATAGTACTAAGCACAAACAAATAAAATGAGTTCAATTGTATCGTTGAATCGTTGACGCACGGACTGCTCAAACGCTGCGGACTACGGGCGGAGCGGCTGCAGTGTTGCGGAAGCACGGTGAATTTGTATTGGAGCAAGCGTTTTACCTCGCGCCGCGTGCTCCGCAGGTGATGTCCAGTCCGTGCAGTCAACGAATCAACTATACCTGTTCAAATAAGCAATTTCTCGAACAAGAACTTGTGGATCTGATTCAAAATAGTGATGGGCAGCCGCTGGAGCGACTTTACGAAAGAAACGGTCCCAGTCAATCTGAACGGAAGATAATTTGTCGTTTGTTTGATCCATTTCGTTTTCTGGCGAAGCACACGTGCATACGTACGAACCATAGGCATATATTTTCGCATTTTGCTCAAACGGCGAAGATGATAAAACTTCTCGTGGTCCTTGCGAGCCTCCGGTGGAGCGTGAATTGCCGCTATTTTGGCTTCGAAGTCAATGATCTCGTCTATATCCTCTTCGGTTTTTGTTCGATTTCTACGCACATTTCCATCCTTTTGGAAAAGCATGACCTGTAGTTGAAATTACAGAGCTTGAGTCTGAACTCTCGCAAAAGAGTTGATTACTTTATCGACAAGAAACTTCTTGAGGATGTTGATCTTCCCAGCATAAACGTGTTTCATTAGATATACTCTTCGTGGCAGGGTAATGCCGCCTTGGTCAAACTGTAAAAAGAAGAATCAACATTTTTCCGACAAATTCAATAATTTTGGATTTCCGTAACTGCGGCAATCAGGTATTGGCTCAAAAAAAAAATCACTGTTTTGTATGCACTGTACTTAAGGTTTTCTATGGACTATCGCCTCAACGTTGCGTGGATTTGACAGTGGGTTTGAATGCAATGTATAGCCGTGTGTACTCTGGCAGAGTCCCAAACTCTGAAGAAGCCGACGTCTGCATTTTTTGTCGGAAGCTCAGACAAGAGCTAAGCGGGCAAGATGCCCCACCATTGGATGTATGTAAGAATCGGTGACATGGTCACCATCCCCTCTCAAGGTTGCGATCGCCTATGGAAGGCCTAGTGAGTCTGCTCTTATCGGAGATGTATCTATCACCCTTCAGCAAAAGAAGCAGGAAAGAAATTTCGAGCGTTGGCTTTGTCATACACCCATCTTCCTTATCTTGTCAATCTGTGAGACCCTATCACCTCAGTTGGTCATCCTACATCTACGCTTTTCAACTCAGAAGACCAGCGTCATTAACTGCTGCTAGCCAACAACAGCAGCTGAAATCAGGACTGGATGCTTTCTACGAAGACATGGAGGAGGTCGTCCGCAACGAAGTCACAAATGGCATTCGTCTTGTTAGATATCTCTCCATCGGACGATTTTCCCGTGAAAACTCTATCTCCTTGAAGAAAAGACAAAGCCGCTGACATGGGAATTTTCCGATGGAACACTTACGCGCAGATCGAGCTTTCAACATCCGAAGACGGAGCTTGCTCGATGTCTCAGTAGGCTGGCTCCATTTAGTATCCACGCAGAATGAGTTAACTTTTTGTGGTGATATAAACTACGTGGTCATATAGAAGCCAAGACGTTGTGTAATGTAACGTACATCGTTTGGCAAAGATTAAAGATTTCATACCTTACCCTTACTTGTCCTACATCACCTCCTCTGCCCAAACCGCGCTGTGGTTAACACCTTCACGACAACGCTGATTTTTCGATTACTGCCGTTTCGGACCAAAGCCTTTTTCGCTTTTCGCTTTCGGACAATACGACCGCCCGTGGGTCGTATTGTCCGAAAGCGAATTCAAAACATGTCTCCGAGAATTTCTCCACGATTACCGAAGACGCTGATTATCAAACTATGATTTATTTCAATTTTTGGCATTGTACGGTAAGGTTATGGTAGTCGTTTTGTACGAACCCAACATCTTGGATTCTCATGAAAAATTGTGTTTTGGGGTTATTTCACGTGCTATCACGATTCTACGGTAGCTACGGTCTAATTTTCGTCAAAATTAAAATACTGATGTAAGAAGGCGATACTTGGGAATGTCGTTTTCTTAATCAGCATGCTGCAAAAACTATATATGTAAGGTTTGAGCTTTTTAAGACAAAACAATGCAAAAAATCAGTAAAATCGACAAAATTGACAATTTTTGGTGGTCTAACATCACTCTCGCGCCCTCCATGTATTTTTCGTGCATGTAAACTTGAATCTTCCATAACAGCACCACTCTGCAAAAAATTTGAGCTAAAGTCTGTGCCTTATCTCTATCTACGGTATACCTACCGTAAAATTACATTACAGTGTCCAAAGCGCGGACCGCTTTGGCTGGAGTTTCGCCAAGATGTTCCAATCATGTGCCATAACCCCGTAAAACTTCATCGTAAATCGGCAAAGCTAGAGCTTCAGGAATCTTACGACCCACCGGTGGGTCGCATCGCCCGAAACGGCAGAACACGTACGACCCACCGATGGGTTGTAATGTCATGAGTGTGCTAAGCTTAAACAATTGTTGGCTCTTCGCTTTCTCACTCGAAATTTAATTAGGCAAGAAGCCACTGTGAATGATAATTGAGGAAAATTGAACAGGTGCATGTAACCGACAGTGCAGACTTGTCCTTGTATTTTGCGTGGAGAATTAACTAAAGAGAGTATAGACTTGCATTGTAGTATTACGGATTACAAAATATGGACAAAAAGACCACAAACCTCGATAAGACGGCGAGACACATCCTTTTCGTCTAGAGTCAACTTGAAGTTGACGAACATGTTTACTCTACGCCGTGACACAAATATGAGTAATGATGTCAGGTCGAATTTCTTTTCATCCCACTTATTGTCTCCGTCCAACATCGGCCAAACGCCAAACCTCTGAAGCAACTTGCATTATAAATTTGCTTGCAATTATGTGCGACAAACCCTGATTTGCTTAATCATTCGCGAAGCACCGATGCGGTTCAACTCATCCACGTCCATACATTTCTTATAAACAGCTTTCAAACCATTTATGATTTTTGATCCATACTTTTCTTTCGACTCGAACATCTCTTAAAAACGTCTTTCATTAAATAGATAGAATTTTTTACAATTAGCAATCTGAGCTAGGGTTATAGATCTGCCATTTCAACAAACGTTACTATCATGTGGTACGCTTTATCCGTTGAAGGGCTTCGGTAAACAACGCAAGTAAGTATTACAGTCTATCCATGGTGGAAAATTTTGCATCAATGCGTTCACTGCTCCAGACACTCACCTTTCAGCTCACTTTCCACTTTATCAGCGACGATTTCAAAGTTTGAATAAGCCATACCTTCGATACATAGAGCCACGTACTCTGGTAACCTTCACTTTGAGTGTCATGAGAGGACACAACCTTCACCTGGAGAGGAGTACAAGTCATCCGGGGCGAAGCCCCGGATATTATGACATAACTAATGACTAACTCTGTAAGGATGAATGTGAATGAGGCATATAGTAGTGACATCCAAAGAAAAGCTCAAAAAACCGAAAGATAGCGTTTTCATGGCCTTTTTTGCTGAAAAGAGGGTTTTTCTTCAAAATTCAGTTAGAAATTAGGATAAAACTTATCAGTTAACCTTTCTATAGACTGCGATTGAGCGTTGGAGGTTCATAAAAGCCGCTGGAGTTCAACAAAAACGAGAAACTGCGCTGAAATCTTGCGCAGAAAGTCGCCACATAAATGCTGGTCTATCTCGTTATGGAGTGAGATTCAAGACCCGCGACGTTGTCAGTGCTCCTGGCCGTGTCATGAGGATCACAACGATATATAATATTATAGGGTTTCGTTATGACCCCGCGGAGATCAATGACCAGAGCCAAATGCCCCGCCGGCTCTGGTCTCTCTCCGCTGCTCGTCTGCGTCTTCGCGCGCTGCGCGCTACCTCGCTACCCCAAGCGCGGGGCGCGGGGTATTTGGCTCTGGTACCCTTTTCTTCGCTGTTTCGAACCCAATTTTAGCAAGCTATGTATCATTTTGAAGCTCTTGATCTCTATTTTCACGCTGACAACGTCGCAGGACTCCTTTTTATGACTTAAACAAGAAATCCGGCAAAAACCTTGTTTTTGAAAATCTCTCGTTTTTCTCCTAGTTTGACTCTTTTCACGCAGTTTTTTTGTGTAGTCGATAGGTCTTGTTTCTGTCTATAATGTAGACAACGTCGCCGAGCTTATTTCTTTGCTTATGCCGCTTTTTTTGTAGAAATTACTAAAAAATGCGTTTTTCTTTACCTTATTTTTTTCGGTAGTTTCGCAACGAATTTTCCCCACCTTGGACGATATTGCTCAGAATGATGAGCGGAAGAATCCAGACAACGTCGCAGGGTACAAGAGGGACGGCGTGGGGGTAAAAATTTAAAGGACGCATCAAAAATCAAAACCCCGTGTTGCGAATTGCTGGTTCTGGAGCGAAAACTTGCACTCTGTAAAGCCGCCAAATGAAAGATTTCAAATCTTATTGCAGCGTTTTTATCCGGTTTACAGCCGTTTCTTTTGCTTTTTATGTCTGTTTTACGTCATATTCTCTTCTCTGATCTTCTTTGAACAACCTTCACCATTTGTGACGTCAGATGTTCAAACAACCTTCACTTTTGGCGCCCTGTCTCTAGACTATCGAAGGTATGGAATAAGCGATGTGATGACCGGGGATCGGATGTCTCGCTATCCAATTGCCGCAAGTAAATTCATAGAAGTCCTGGCATGGATCCACCTGGGGCGCTCGGCAGTTACATAATTATAATGAACAGCACAATAAGTGCAACTCACAGAAAAATTTATGGATTTCCTGAGCATTTTAGACGCGAGCTTATATCCTTTTGATTTGGCGATATCTTCTTCAGGGGGTGTAGTGGGAGGTGCACACCACCAGCAGAACATCATCATAATCCATCTCATTTTGTACCAAAAATTTGTCTTTTTATTTGAAGAACAACCGATCTACACAAGAGTAGCGTTTTTCAACGACAGAAATGTTGATTGTACGCGCACATCTCCAAACGCCATATCAGCAACGATTTGTCAGCGGTGGAGGAAGTTTTTACGAAAACGATGCAAGGAGTGAAAAGGGTCTAGAAATTATCTTGGATTTTTTGATACAAAATGACACCGGACACTCTCATATTTGAGCTTCACCCTATAAGAGCTTCATGAAAATAGGATTCTTTTTGTGGGTTGATTCAATATACGCAGCTAAGATCGGATGACGGCCTCGGGGCATTTTATTTTCAATTTGCAATAACCGTAGTTGTTGCTTAAGAAGGTGTTTTATTCGTGCTTGAAACCAAATTGTATCACTCGCTTGGCAACCTAAGCAAGCGTTCGCGGCCAGTTCGAATGTGGCAAAAATGTGGTATTAGGCCCCGGACAGACTTCACGCTATTTGATCTTCGCGACTCAATCGCCGACATTTCCATTCATTTTCAGTTCACATTCAAAAATTTCGGGCTGGAAAAGTATCACAACCGAAATGCAAGTTGATCGGCATGGAATGATGTTGTAACAGTTGTCTCGTCGCGATTCAGTCGCGACGATCAAATCGCGTGAAGTCTGTCCGGGGCCTTAGCAGAGAGCACGATTCCCAAAGCACCAGAACAATTGATAAGTGCTTGAACAGTGGTTTTGAAAAGCTATCGTAGGGCACTTTAAAAATGTCGTTTGTCCACATTATATCAAGCTGTTCAAAAAGTTCTGTCATCCTTTTTGGAAAAACAAAAGTGAATGCTAATGAAATCGAGACTTGTTCGATGTTTGATGGTGCCAGCATAAGATACGCTAATCAGTTCAAAAGTTTGTGCTCCTTTTGAGTGAAAATTACGTCTTTGTTTTCAGCATCTGAAAAGTGGAAGAATTACTATCACGACTAGCTATCATCCTTCTAGGAGAACAGCACAGTAGTCAAGGGTGATCACATGGCCAGAATTATCTGACACCTTTACTGGTTATGTAGATGAATATATTAGGTTGTCAAGAAAATAATGTCGGTTTTTACTTGCTTGCTTTAACAAAGCAACCAGACTCAACCCAACAAAGGGTAAGGGGTATTGTTCGATAGAGCAAAGCAAGCTCTACAACATGGCACTCATGCCTTTGCGCCATGCTCGATCCACGGAGAGTTCGAACTCAAAATCTAAAGATTTCCATATGCCCAAAAAATCGAAAAAAATCAGATCTTCGTCCAAATAATTTTTACGGACCTCCCACTCGCTCACATCAATACTATCGATATCTGATATCCATGTGTGCGGTTGCCGTATTTTTTCCTTGACTAGAAATTGAGAAAACGAAAATTTCCCTGATTTTCTCAAAGCAATGCTGAGCCGTTTTTGCATACGTAGTCCTATACTACAAGCCTAGGCAAGTATAACTGTAGATTTTCAGCCTATTCCAAGCGGTAGTTTTCGAAAAATAACGGATTCGGATTTTTTCGTTTCAGTTTCAGTTCTAAAATTGACATTTCTCGAAAAGTACCGCTCGAAATAGGCTGAAAACCTACAGTTATGCTTACCTAGGCTTGTAGTATAGAATTACATATGCAAAAACGGCTCAGCATTGCTTTGAGAAAACCAGGGAAATTTTCGTTTTCTCAGTTTCTAGTCAAGGAAAAAATATGGCAATCGCACATATGGATATCAAATATCGATAGTATTGATGTGAGCGAGTGGGAGGTCCGTAGAAGTTATTTGGACGAAGATCTGATTTTTTTCGATTTTTTGGGCATATGGAAATCTTTAGATTTTGAGTTCGAACTCTCCGTGGATCAAGCGTGTCGCAAAGACATGAGTGCCATCTTGTAGAGCTTGCTTTGCTCTATTGAATAGTACCCCTTATCCTTTGTTGGGTTGAATCTGGTTGCTTTGTTAAAGCAAGCAAGTAAAAAACGACATTATTTTCTTGACAACCTAATAATATTTAGACGCTTATTGGCAGAAATTTTTGAACAACCTGATACCAGAAAAATGTTATTCATGAGGGCCTTCAGAAGTTAGTACTCAGTCGGAAAATGGTATTCGCATCAGAGTCAACAGCAATATAGAGAGGAAGAGAGAGAGAGAGAGAGGAAGAAACGATATCATGAAAGTTACGCACAGGATTGCTGTAAAACGGTAAGAGAAGGATGGATAAAAAGAGGATGCCATTATGTTGCAGAATTTGTGGACTGCTGTGAGACATTATATGAGGGTATAGTACCTGTGAACATATTATGAGTACTAGATTCTTTGTTAAAGTGAAAATTGCGACAATCAAGAATTCATAAATTATGTTAGCAAATAAAACCCTTGAAAGTGAATATAAACGAAACGGAATTAAACGAAGAAAGCAACAGCTCCTCTTTTGTAGTGGTTATATTTGTTTTAGTGGGTACAGCGTTCAGTATATCTGCTCACACTATTTAACCACTCTATCTGTCGTCCGAAACATCTGTGCGCATGTAAATCATCAGTCTGTAAATGAGCTGAAGTTGTACTGTGCAGGCATTTTCAATAGAATCATCTCTTTCTTCTTGCAGAGACCGAATGTTTTTTACGGTTACAGCAATACTGTGCCAATTTGAGGAAAAAAAGTTTCAGCACGTCAAACAACGCTATCGGAAAAGTTCTAGCAAGTTCTGAGGATTTCGAATACTGGGAATGGAATGATCATTCCATAAGTGGAATGGTCATTTTCGAACATGGTTAACTTTGTCTTGAAGGTAACTCAGCTACCTCTTTTGCACTCAGTAAAAAGCACTCCTTGTTGGAGCAAATAAGAAATCCTACTTTATGCAAAGCCAAATGTGGAGTTGTTAAGCACAGCCAAAGCCTGGTTTGTGGCTGCTACAGTACCCACACTAATTATTCGACAGGAAATGCAAAAACTGACGATCCGCGTTTTTTTGTTTTTTCTTCATAACTTCTTTCAGACTGCATAAAATACAAATCCGAAGAAAGCATGATGCTCAGCTCGTCAAGATGAATTTTCTGATATACTGCACTCTTGTACTATTCTGTTTTCAATCTGCTCGTTTTTTGTGGGGATGGGTATTCGTAGGTGTAACCTGGTGTTACTCAGCGAAGAACATACATGAACGATTCATGTAAACATGGTTCAGTAGTGCTGTCCCCGTAGATTATCATGCACTAGGATTAGCGAAGGATCCCCTTTCCATGGGGAAAGGTAGGCCGTTTAATTTTGAAAAAATCGACGTCTCTCAAATTTTGGTTACCGCAACCATACAGTAAGACGTTAACTTGCTCTTCTACCCAGCTTCTCCTAGTGATGAGAAAACCTGCGGGCTTGGAGCGGAGTTGAAAAG